TCGAACCACTTCAATCAACAAGCGCTAATGAAACATGTGCTGCGGTGTACAGACACTGCAGACGAGATGACCACTGGACCTAAATGGCGTTAATTTCCCTTCGCTTCAAACCAAACAAACTCATATCCGTCATCCCTTTGGTGTATTTACTGAATAAGGTATTGAACGGGCTCCATAGACGGGTTACTTAATTAAATTGTTTTCTGTTTTAGTATGGAATCCTTCAGTCTATGCTGGCCCCCACAATCAAGTCACTTGCTTTATTCCCTTTAGTACACACAAACGCTTCATAGTTCTCGTATTCCTGCTTCACTTGTGCAGCACTTAATATTTGTCTCACCAAATGTTGTTGTATGCACGCAGTGTCTGTACAGCTTGTCGGCCGCCGGTGTTATTACACCACTGACATCTTATTGCGGTTTCAGAGATACATAATATTGCATTTCACTCCCAATAAAACTAACGGAAACAGTGTAGCCGCAAAAACACGAAAAACAATGAAACCAACGAGGTGTACATGCAGCTCAACGAAGATCTGTACTCATCGCCGCACTCCACCGGCTGCAGAGGGAACAGAACTCCTCTTCTGTTGTCATTTTTATTGAAATTAAAATTAATATATGTATATTTATCGCGAGTTTCTTTCACTGATCTCTTAAACCTCCTCGGCCACCGTACCCTTACCAGCAGCAACGGGCTGCGGTATCGTCGCTGCTACTACCGGTTCTCAGGTGTATCTGCAGCTGCTGAGCTGTAGTTGTTGCACTACAAAAACTAATAAACATTAAATACAACATAACGAGGAGCAGTACGTCTAATTACGGCCGTTTCTGCTTTCCTTTAGTCTCGGGTGTACAGACACTTGACGTGGATTGAATATAAAGGAAAACAACAACAACAAGCAGTCACTCATTAACCCTCGGTTGCAGCAGCTGCAATGGTGGGCCTCTCACGTGGCAGCAGCAAGCGTGACTAGGGCAGCTAATCTTTGCTGCTGCTGCTGCTGCTGCTGCTGCTGCTGACGAGGGACCCGGGTGGTGCTTCTGCATGCGATGGCCTGGCGGGCTCTGCAACGTCCACAGCAATGGCTGCCTACTTCTCTTTATTCCTGTTGCTGCAGCAGCTGCTGCTGCGGCTGCTGCTGCAGCTGCTGCTGCCGCAGCTACAGTTCGCGCAAGCAGACCCACCATTAGATACACTGCAGCAATTAGCTGCAGCAGCAGCACGCCGCCCTGGGGACCCTGATGCTGCAGCAGCAGCACTGAAGCCAGCAGCAGCAGAAACAACGCTGCGAGGCGTACATGGACAGCAGGAGTCCTCTGCGCCTCTTTCAACAGCAGCAGCAACGGCAGCAGCAACAGCAGATGCAGCAGCAGCAACAGCAGATGCAGCAGCAGCAGCAGTAGAACGGCTGCTAAAGGGGCAGCTAGAGCTGCCACTTACATACAGCAGCATTCTCTCGCTGCTGCCGCTGCTGCAGCAGCGCTTTCCTCACCTTGTCCGCGTTAAAGACGCAGTGAAGGTCTTCGGTCTGCAGGACGAAGCAAAGGAGTAACGCCTGCTGCTGCTGCTGCTGCTGCTGCTGCTGTTTCTACTGTCGTTGTTGCTGTTGTTTCTGCTGCTGCTGCTTCCATTGCTGCTTTCACCGTTGTTGCTGCTTCTGTTGTGGATGCTCCTCTTGTTGTTTGTATTGCTGCTGCTGCTATTCGCGGGCTGTAGCTGCACCACCACTGGCTGCTGCGAGTACTTTTGCTGCTGTTGCTGCTGCTTCTGCTTTTTATGCGATGAAGTGTGCATCGTGTTGGTGTTGCTGCTGCTGCTGCTGCTGCCGCTGGCTGTTTGTCCTGTTGCTGCGGCTGTTTCAGCTTAGTAGTGACTGGTGATACCTCGTTGAGCCTAGGGTTTAGGGTTTAGGGTTTAGGGTTTGCGTTTGCTGCTGCAGGCTTATCTGTGGGAATCAGACCTGCCGAGTGCCGTATGTAGAGCTGGGCCTCCGCAGCAGCCTCAACAGGAGCACACCCACAATCTTTTACAGGTGGGTGTTGCGAGGGTTTAGGGTTTAGGGTTTAGGGTTTGTAGGCTCGCGGTTTAGGGGTTTAGGGTTTACATTCTTACCCGGCTACGTTTGCCCCTGCGCCGGTTCACTCCTCACGCAGCTGCAGTGTACTGTGTCCAGGTAGGGTTTAGAAACTAGGGTTTAGGGTTTAGGGTTTAGGGTTTAGGGTTTGTGGTTGTTGCAGCGGACTGCTGCACGGAGACGAAGTGGTGGGCCCCACCGTGGCGGTTTATTTAGTTGCGCTTTTGGCCTCACAGTTTTCTGAGCTTGACGAGGTCAGTTCTAAACCCTAAACCCTAAACCCTAAACCCTAAACCCTAAACCCTCATCTGTCTCTGTCTCCACATGGCCCGGCCAGTCTATTATCTATCTTTGAGGATCTGTTGTTTGCTGCTGCTGCTGCTGCTGCAGCAGCAGCAGCAACGATAGAAGTTCTTCGCTGAGTGTTCATATGGCATCTGGTGGCCAGTATAGTGACCTAGGGTTTAGGGTTTAGGGTTTAGGGTTTGTGTGTAGGTGCATTACTTACTATCGAATCGCTTGCTGGTGGTTTTCCCTTTCTTTAACCCCTGGGGTTTCTCCAGAGATAGAAGAGAAGAAAGAGGAATAGACCCCAACAGAGATTTTCCTTATCTCAATAGCAGATGCTTCTCAGCTCTATCCTCCAGGCAAACCCCAAACCCTAAACCCTAAACCCTAGCCTAAACCCTAAACCCTAATTCCTATGTAGCTGCAAAAGGGAGCTGCCGCTGGCGCGCCAGGCGGAGCTCTCAGCAGTTTTTTAGGGAGGAGACGAAATACTAAGGGTTTAGTCTTTAGGGTTTAGGGTTTAGGGTTTACGCACCACCTCCGGTCCGCGTTTCTTCGTCTAGGGTTTAGGGTTTAGGGTTTAGGGTTTGGGGTTTGTGTATAGGCTGGTGGCTGCTGCCTTCGAGCGGTATTTGTTTATTGCGGGAATTACATGGCATGGCGGCATGCGGGCGATCAGTCGGCCTTGGGG